GCGGGGCTGAGCTTGGGCGGTTGTGGCTAAGTTTTCCCTTCGTGAGGCAGGCCGAGATAGTTGGAGGCTCCGCCGTGTGGTCCGCTCCCATCTTCTCCAGCAGAGATCAGGGAGGCTTATAGATCACCCAAGGAAGGGCTACCCTAGGGCTACCCCTAGGGCCTACCCCTAGGGCTACCCTAGGGCTACCCTAGGGCCTACCCCTAGGGCTACCCTAGGGCTACCCCTAGGGCCTACCCCTAGGGCTACCCTAGGGCTACCCCTAGGGCCTACCCCTAGGGCTACCCTAGGGCTACCCCTAGGGCCTACCCCTAGGGCTACCCTAGGGCTACCCCTAGGGCCTACCCCTAGGGCTACCCTAGGGCTACCCTAGGGCCTACCCCTAGGGCTACCCTAGGGCTACCTCTGGGGCCTACCCCTAGGGGTACCCTAGGGCTACCCTAGGGTGTCCAGTAGGGCCTATCCTTGGGAAGCCTAGGGCCTTCAGTATGTGTAATCCGCCACACAAGCAAGCAATGCCTTTAATGTCCCGCCCGCCCGCCCGACAAAAGGAATCAGCTTGTAATCCGCCACAAATGGAATCAACTTGCAATCCGCTGCCAAATGGAATCACTTTGTAATCCGCCACGAAAGCAATCAATGCATTTAATGTCCCGCCCGCCCGCCCGACCAAAGGAATAAGTTTGCAATCCGCTGCCAAAAGGAATCCATGTGTAATTCACCACACAAGCAATTATTGCCTTCAATGTCCCGCCCGCCCGCCCGGCAAAAGGCGCCCGACCAAAGGAATAAGTTGAAAATCCGCTGCCAAAGGGAATCCATTCGCAATTCACCAAACAAGCAATCATTGCCTTTAATGTCCCGCCCGCCCGCCAGACAAAAGGAATCAATGTGCAATCTGCCACAATAAGAATCAGTTTGCCATCCGCCACACAAGCAATCAATGCCTTTAATGTCCCGCCCGCCCGCCCGACAAAAGGAATCAGCTTGTAATCCGCCACAAATGGAATCTATTCGTAATCCGGTACCAACGGGAAGCAATTGGTAATCCACCACACAAGCAAGCAATCAATGCCTTTAATGTCCCGCCCGCCCGCCCGACTAAAGGCATCAACCCTCGGATAGACCGGTGAGGGGGGGTCTGTGAGGGGGGGTCAGCGAGGGGGGGTCTGCGAGGGGGGGTCAGCGAGGGGGGGGTGAGGGGGGTCCCAGAGGGGGGGTCAGCGAGGGCGAGGGGGGGTCAGCGAGGGAGGGGTCTGGGGGGTGAGGGGGGTCCCAGAGGGGGGGTCAGCGAGGGGGGGTCAGGGGGGGTCTGCGAGGGGGGGTCAGTCTGGAGGGGAGAGGGGGGTGCGAAGAGGTGGGGTCAGGGGGGCGAGAGGGGGAGTCAGCGATGGGGGGGGTCAGCGAGGGGGGGGAGGGGGGGCAGTCTGTGAAGGGGGGTCTGCGAGGGGGGGTCAGCGAGGGGGGGTCCCAGAGGGGGGGTCTGCGAGGGGGGGTCTGCGGCGCCGGGGCCGCGGTCGCCGGGGGGCGGCGCGGGCGCCCTGCCCTCGGAAGGGGGAGCGGGGGGGGGGAAGCAGGGGATCGAGGAGTAGCGAGGGAGGAGGAGGAGGTGGAGGAGGAGGAGAGGAGGAGGAGGAGGAGGAGGTGGCGGCGGAGGAGGAGGAGGCGGCGGGAGCAGGGGGGGAGAGGAGGAGGCGGGCGGACGGAGTGAGGAGGGAGGAGGGAGGAGGCGTGCGAGAGGGAGGAGGGAGGAGGGATGCTGCCGGCTCGGATTCCCGCTACAAAGGGGTCCGGCTACCCCTGGGGCCCACCCCTAGGGCTACCCTAGGGCCTACCCTTGGGAAGCCTAGGGCCTTGGGTAGGGCCTACCCTTGGGAAGCCTAGGGCCTTGGGTAGGGCCTACCCTTGGGAAGCCTAGGGCCTTGGGTAGGGCCTACCCTTGGGAAGCCTAGGGCCTTGGGTAGGGCCTACCCTTGGGAAGCCTAGGGCCTTGGGTAGGGCCTACCCTTGGGAAGCCTAGGGCCTTGGGTAGGGCCTACCCTTGGGAAGCCTAGGGCCTTGGGTAGGGCCTAGGGTAGCCAAGGCCCCCGGTGATCTATACCCAGGGAGGGGAACAAGAACACAGACACACTTTATCGTCGACTCCCAGGAAAATATTAGAAAATATGGGAAATGGAGGTCCCAGACATGATCGCGTCGTAATACACCCAAACGGGAGGTTTTAGGTTATTTTCGGCCCCGGGGGGCCCTCGCCGGGCCTCGGGATTGTTAAAAAACAAGTCAGGTCCAAAAAAAACCGGTCCCGGGGAGAGGGTCCGGATTTCCAGGGACGCCGTCCTGAAAAAAAAAGGTCGTCGCATGTCTTGGGTTGCCTCCTGACCCCCCCTTTCTGCATCTCCTTGTCTTCTGGCCCACAGGCCTGGTGCCCCCGCAGCCCGACGTGGTGGCGGACCCGGCAGGCGCGAGCGCTCCGGCTGGGCATGCCATGGCGGACCTGTGACGACACGCCGCCAGGCCGGCGCCGAGAGCGCGGCGGGGATCGGGGAAGGCGGAAGCGAGGGGATGAGGGCAAGGAGGGCGACGGGGGAAGGATCTGGGACGAAGGTTCCTGCCGCGGTCTTGGCGCTGTTCTCGATCGAAGGAGGAACAACGGATATGAACTGTCCAAGCTCCTCGCGGATCTCTTGGATCGGCATTTCTTGATGGTTTTTGTTGTTGTTGTTGTTGTTGTTGTTGTTGTTGTTGTTGTTGTTGTTGTCGTTGATGTTGTTGAATGCTAAAAACAATGATTATAGTTGGACCCCCCCAGGCGCTTTGACGCTCTCGCCTCGGCGCCGGCTACATTTTCATTGAGAATGAGGCTCACGCTCGAGCGGCTTGGGGGGGCGCCCAAACGGGCCCCCCACAACAACGCTCCCGCTCGAGACTTCCTCCTCCTTTACTCAGGGCCAGTGCTCTTGCTCGCCGCCAAAAGCCGCCGTCCCAACAAAACCAGCGCCACCGCTCGAGACTTCCTCCCGCTTTACTTTGGACTGGCGCGCTATTCTTTCTCTCATCGGCGCCGCCCCCAGCAACAACAACACTCCCGCTCGAGACTTCCTCCCTTTGTTGCTTCAGGCGTTGTTGTTCCTCGCCGCCGAAAGCCGCCGTCCCAACAAAACCAGAGCTCCCGCCCGAGATTTTCTCCCGCTTTACGCTGGATGCTCTCTTTGGGATTGGCGCATCTCCCAGCAAGAACACGCTCCCGCTCGAGGCATCCCCCCTTTCTCCTCAGGACGGTGCTGTTCCTCGCCGCCGACAGCCCCCGTCCCGACAAAACCACGGTTGAATGACACTCGAGCTGTTAAAAGCGAACAGTCTTAAATTGATTAGTTGTGGAATACACTCCTCTGCAGCAGCGCCGTTGTGACAGGCGTCCCCACCACACAACGCCACCGATGGATGAGATGGATGCCTCGCGATCTTTTGCTCGATCATGCGAGGCGGTCGCACAGTAGCAGTGCTCAAAGGGGCCCCCTGCAGGCACACAGAGAGCCAGAAACAGCAGCGGCACGCTTGCATCAATGCTTGCACAAAGCACAACGAGCGTGAGAGGGACACGGATGTTGGTTCACGCCCCTCTTCAAGAAAGAAAATGCCTTAGCCAAAACGCAATCTGACGAAAGGCGATGTGTGCTGCCGCATATGAAACTGAAAGCCCAGCTGGCATCAGAGAAAGTATGGAAAGAACGCAAGAACTGACTTCCCAGGTTAACCTCTCACTCACGTGGCCTCCTGCTCTGCGCCCGAGCTCGCTTGCTGCTTCGCCTCGGCTCCGACTGGGCCTGCCTTACGCCTGGTCTCCAAGTTCAGCCTCGTCGCCGCCTCACGGTCCTAGAACTGCTTCATCGCAGTGTTGGCGTTGATGTTGTACTCGCTGTTGTACAACACCCGCGTGAGGACTTCGTCGTCCAGCGCGCCTCCCTCGGTCAAAGGGTCGGCCAGCATCACGCTGGTGTGCACCCAACGTAGCTCATCTCCATCCCGCGCCAGTAGCTGCTTCAGCGCCGTGAGCTCGATGCTCACACGCTGCTCCTGACCCGTCTGACGCCGTCGGAAGCCGTTTTTGGGGCCTTTCTGGGCCGACTTGGGGCCCTCGTGGGGTGTGCCAGGGCCATCTTAGAGGCCATCTTGGGCGTCTTGGAGGTCTCTTGGGTCGTCTTTGTGCCCTCTTGGGGCCGTCTTGGGGGCCTCTTGGGCAGTCCTGAGGCCATCTTGGAGGCCTCTTGGGCGCTGTGCGGGCGATCATGGGGGCCTCTTGGGCCGTCTTGGGTCGTCGGAAAGCAGAGAAGAAGCGAATGCCAACATCCTTCAAACACCTGAGGAAAATCAATGATTTTGGCCTCTTCGGGCCCTCCTGGAGGACCTCTTGGAGACCTCTTGGGCCGTCTTGGAGGCCTCTGGGGGGCCTCTTGGGCCGTCTTGGGCTGTCTTGGACTCTCTTGGGCTGTCTTGGAGGCCGTCTTGGACCATCTTGGGCTGACTTGGAGGCCATCGGAGGCCGTCTTGGAGGCCATCTTGGGCCAACGTGGCCATCATGGAGGCCATCTTGAGCCGTCTTGGACGAACAATTATGCAATTGAGGTCCTTTCCGGGTGGCCGGCGGGACGGGCCGAAGCCCCAGGGGGAGTTTTTCTGGAGCAAGAACCAAAACCAAATCCGAGAGGGTTCAGCACGCCAGGCGCTCCTATGGCAAGCACAGGGGGCGGCGGATCCTGGTGGCCTTCGGCCCATCCCGCCACCGCGCCTGGGTCTGAGGCCTCTTGTAACTGTGTTGGGGTGTCGTGGGGAGCCTTTCAGGGGCCTCTCGGAGGCGGTTCGGGCGCCTCTTGGGGGCCCCTTAGGGCCTTGTGGGGTATCTTTTGGGCTGCTTGGAGGCCTCGTGGGCGCGTCTTGGGCGCCCCTTGGGGCCTCTTCCAGGAGATCGTGGCCTCGGAGGCGCGAGCGTGGTGTAATTTACAGGGGAAGCGGCCTCGGGGGCGCGAATGTGGCGTGGTTTGCGGGGCTTCGTGGCCCCAGAAACGCGAATGTGGTGTAATATAGGGGAGTCGTGGTCTCGGAGGCGCGAGTGCGGCGTAATATGTGGCTTCGGGAGCGCGAGTGTTGCATAATTTGCAGGAGATCGTGGCCTCAGGAGCGTGAGTATGGCCTATTGGCGAATTTTACAAGGGCTCGTTGTTTCGGGTGAGCGAATACAGCGTAATATACTTGGAATCTTGGCTTCGGGGGCGCGAATACAAGGTAATTTACAAAGGATCGTGGCTTCGGATGCGCGAACCTCATGTATTTTTACGTGTCCCATGGCGCCTGGAAATTCCGAAAACCTTCCCGCGGGACGCTAATCACGGTGATTTCTGGCTCCCCCCCCCCCCTTTGCGCGGACAGTAACAGTTTACAGTTGGAAGCAGAAAGCAATATTGTAACATTGGAAACTGGAAACTGGAACTGGCGCAGGGAGTAGCAAACTTAATCCTCGTAGCCTGATGGCCCCGCAAGGGGGCCGGCGGACTATTCTTCCTTCCCTTTTGTTATTATTATTTCTCTTCGTCTCTTGTTGTGATTTTTCTTCTTCGTTTTGTATTATCATTCATTATTCTTATTCTTATCATTTTTATTTTTCTTATTCCACCTCTTTTTTTGTTTTCTTTCCCTCCCTCTTGGGGGGGCGCGCGCGCAGGGCGGCCGCGAGCCCTACTTCTCCCTGGACCCAGCGGGCGGCGCCGACGCGGCTTCGATGTCGCAGCAGCGTTTCCTGCCCTCGTGGATCGCGGACCGCGGGCCGGCGGCGGCGGCGGCGGCGGTTGCCGCGGTCGAAACGCCTAAGAGAGGGCTTCTCCAGTTCGATCCGATCGATCCGATTCGATGTCTCTTCCGGCCGGCCCGATCCGTTTCGATTCCGACATTCCGGCGGTCCATCGCGGCCCGATGCTTGCGTGCCGCCGTTCGGTTGGAGTTCGGTCCCGTGCCGATGCACCCCGATCCGATGCACGTGTCGACTCGATTTAAGTCGGGCTGATCCCTCTACAGGAGGAATTTTCAAACATAGGCAAAACTCACAATCAGGGGACGTTTTTTTTTTTTTCTTTTTGTTGTTGTTTTTTTTGGTGTGGTGAGAATATTTTTGATAGTTTGGAATATTTCTAGGGTATTTTTGAATTTTCGCCCAAAATCCCCCTGTAGGGGGACCTGCCCGACTTAAGACTCGATTCGGTTTGCCCATTCGATATTCACCGCGATCCTGTTCGGGGGGGGGGGGGGGGCGACCCCCTGGGCGGTCTTCGGAGCGGCTGGCGCGCCCGAGCGTCGTGTGGTACAAGGTGGCGCTCGGGCGTGCCGTCGCCCAGGGGTCGCCCCCCGCCCCTCCCCCCCTCGGGAGCGAAAGAAGGACGCACACGTACATGATCGGAAACTGGAGCATCCACATTACCAGTGGCGGGCTGTTTTGCAATCCCAAGGTATTTTGAGGGTCGCCGACGACGTCGGGGTGGTGTGGTGTATAATTGTTTCCCTGTTTTCCCGTGGCAGGAACGAGAATGTATACACCAAAACCCCATATACACCAGGATCCGCTTTCCTGTGCGAGTTTCGGTGCAGGGCCAGAAAGAGCGTCGGTGTATAGAGTTCGGCTCCTCACATGAGTCCACGTTGGTTTCGAGAGTTCGCATTGCGCGAACGCTCGTATCAGGCGGCCGGTGTCGCGGATTGGGTGGCCGTGTTCATGTACACGGTTGGGCGCGTACGTCCTTTGTGGGCTCCCTCGCCCCCCCCCCCAGAGGGTTCTCGGTGGCGGTGGTCTTGCTCCCCATCTGTTTATTTGGCGCTCCTCGCGGTGCCACAATGACGGTGTACGAGGACGCGCAGGACGACGCTCACGCGACGTCTGCGGCAATGGCGTCGCACGGTGAGAACAGAGGACGCACGACGAGCGCGGCGGCGACGAGGGCGACGGCAACGACAACGCCGAGTACGTCGCCGACGAGGAGGACGAGGATAACGACGACAAAAACGACGACTGGGGCGACGACGATGCGGCGTCGGCGAAGGCGGTGGCGATGAGTTTTTCGATTCAGGAGGTCTGGGGGTTGCTGGAAAGGGGGGGAGGAGAGAGGAGGAATGGGTGGAGCCAGAGAGGGAGGGGGAGGGAGGAGCAGGCGGTGCGGGATGAAAAGGATGGCGGGGGTACAGGATGATCACGGAAGAGGACGACGTGGAGGCCTTGCGTCCATCGTCTGCGCTATTCGCCCTCTCGTGGTGTCGAACTGTCTGGCGCTGTCCGCATCCACGCCTCCGAAGACACCTAGGAATCGAAAGCTCCTCGTCCTTCCCCCCCCCCTTCGCCTCCTTTTTCATTTTGTTTTTTCTCTCCCCTACTCCTTCCCCCTTCTTCCTCCTCCTCCTCCTCTTCCTCCTCCTTCTACTTTAACTCCTCCTCCTCCTCCTCCTCCTCCTCTTCCTCCTACC